TTGTTGTGTGTGAAGTACTGTTCGTTGTACAAGGAATGGCAATTTGCCTCCACATTTGACTCCTGCTCTTTTCATTTGGATATCTCACACCAAAACTCACCCCTCTTTCTCCCTAGCAAGTCTTGGGGAGCTGAATTTTAAGGGCTTTCTATTTAGCTACATGGCGGCTACTTAGAAAGGCCGAGTGTCCTCCAGAAATGATTTTGACTGTGTCTGTGTCTCCTTTGATGTCTGGGGAAGGAGAGGCTGCCAGTGCCAGCTCTCTCACCAACAGGCCCAGAACCAGCTCCTTTCTTAGGTTTCTCCGTGGGGAACTTGTTGGAACTACTAATTCATCCTGATGCATAAGGCCTGTTGTCATGCACTAACAGCTATTTTCCTGAACTAAATGTGCCATGGCATACTTTTATTTATATGTAAAACTAGTCATTTTTTTTAAATGTCTGAAAAAGTCTAGTAATTATTGTTCCAAACAAGCCTCATTTTCTCCTTTTTTAGACTAATTAACCTGAAAAGAAAAGAAAATTCCTTTTTAAATGAAAGGTCTTTCAGTGTTCTGTGTTTGGTTGGTTGGCTCTGGGTCATCTGGGGTTGGACGAATCCTGCTCCTACCTCCAGCAGTGTCACCCAAAAGAAGCAGCTGCCTCTAATGGGACAGCATGTCTGTATTCACAGGGTTCTGTTTTTTATGGTCTGAGGGAGGTGACGGGGCAGGGGAGGTGGAATTTTTTTATATATCTAAACAGTAAGTGAAGTATTACTGCAATCTCTTTACTGAACTCATGGAAAAACTCAAGTCATTGAATGTTAGTTTTATAGATGAGGGAAGTAAGCTCTAGTGAGATTACTTGACTTGCCCAGACCCTCTATATCTTGTGAGAGGGAGAGCTGGCACTGGAAGGCAGGGCTCCCAGCCTCTTACATACCAGAGACATCTCTCCTAGAAATTGTGATGCAGCCAAATGCTACCACTCTCAGGAGAAACTTCTAGGATCTAGCTTGAGCTTGGATCTCTCTGGTGCTTCCATTACTCTATGCCAAGAAGTCAGGTTGAAACAGAAATGTTTTGCTTTCATTTAATGAAATAATTAGCTCTATAGTTGCTCAAATCTATCATGTCTTTTCATGGACCTCTAATATATGGAACAATTACTAGGGCGAGGTAATAATAATAGCAAGAATTTTTTTTTTTTTTTTTTGGCCATTATACTTGAATTGTATCATGGGATCTACCTTAGAGTCCCACGAGGGAGCTTTTATCATCTCTCTGAGGATAAACTGCTAGCCCAAGGCCACACAGCTAATAAGGAGCCTGACTGCTATTTGAACCCAGCTCACCTGCCTCCAGAACCTGCATTTAACAACCTTGCTATGCCAGCGCCACTGCTCACGTGAGGCTGGCATTGACCTAGTGGATACTGGCCGGGGGATCCAGCTATACATCTAAACCATCAAGCAAAGTTGCCAAGGCTGATCCCTGCCCTCTGGGTGCATACCCTTCCCAGAAACTCATTTCTTACCCTGCCCTTCTGGTCAAGACCACCTCAATTTTAGAAAGGGGTTGTTTTAACAGCAGCTCATCCTCTGATGTCAATTCAAAGAGGCCACTATGATTTTTGGGCTTTCACCTACCAAGCCAGACTTCCCAGCTCCTGATCTTAGTGTAGCCCTTCACCTTGACTCACTGAGTGGGGTCATTGCCAATGTCACCTCCCTCTTTGCAGGATCACTGGCTAGGCATGTGGGCACACAAGGAGGATTTTTATGTAGAAATTACCAGTTCTTCCTACTATATTCTCTGAATTTTCTCCTTTGCGGCTCCAGGAAAAAAAATGATAACACCACAATGAGGAAATGATTTATGGATCAAGTAGAGGCAACTCTGAGCAACCCAAACCCAGAACAAATCCAGCACGAGTAGTATTCTCCTCTCTCAAATGATTGCTTTTGGGAAAATCCACTGATTCCCGACCAAAGTATGTGTTTGACAGTCCTCACCAGTGAGAAGTATTAGCCACAGTTGGACAGAGACAGGACAAAGAGAGCATTCCCCCCTTCTGTGGCCAAGGTCCCAACACTGGGGCTGGCCCCCACACATATCCTGGGGAGTAAATCCTTCCTCTCCCTTTCACTCCAAGATTTGAATCTCCTTCCTGGATCCCTTGCTCAAGATGGTGTTGGAGAGGAAAGAGGGAGGGCATCAGAAAAGGATCTGGCTCTCTCCAAGATCAAAGCCATCCCAAAACATCCCCCTGCAAGATAGAGATTCAGTTTAGAATATTCCAGGATACTTTCCATTGCCTTGTGGATTTTGGTTTCCTGAGGGCCAACCACATACTAGGAACCACTAATTGATACAGTCCAGCTTGACCTCTCTGCCCCACCTAGCGGTAATGGGGGCTCGCTGAAATTCTCCTCTCCTGTGGCCTTTCTGGATCTCCCTGGGCCTCTCTGTCCTTTCAGGGCTCCTTCCTGGCCTGACTCTCAACTACTTCCACCTCTCCCAGTGGGTCACCCCAGGTTCTGGCCTGCCATCTTCTTTTCTTCCTCCTTTCCCTTCCTCGTCCTCTCTTCCAACACACGCTCTTGATCTGATCTAATACCTGGCTTTAGCTCACACTTGCTAGTTGTGGTGACTCGACTCTGCATCTCCCATCTCACATCCCTGCTGAACATGAGGCCTTTGAATGAAGCTCCTTCCTGCGACGCTTCATTCAGGAAGCTTCATTCATGCATCTCCTCCTAGAAATACAGGTGGCTTACCATGCACAGTGTGAACACAGGTGGAGTCACTCTCCTGGCACACCCAAATGTGTCCCTTCACCAGGGTGCCCTGTGCAGGCATGGGACCTACCAGCCACGAGCCTTGACTCTTCCCTCTTTCTGGCCCTCCATGCTTACGGGGGTTCCAAGTCTAGTCAATGCTACCACTAAAACCCCCCTCCTCCTGTGTGCCTCACCATTCCCCAGTTAGCCCCTCCATAGCTTTCAGCCCTCAGTGCCCTGCCCTCCTCAGTGCTCAAGTTGCTTTGTCCATGCCTCTCGTTGCTCCTGTCCCCTCACTCTCGTTATCCCTCCTTCCCAAGGCTTTGACCCCTCCTTCCCACCTTCTTTCCATCAGCCTTCTAGCTTCTCTAGGCCTCTCTTGACTTTATCTTTCTCTGCCTTCCATCGTCTCCCCTTCCCTTCTCGGTTAAGCTTCTGGAAAGGACTGCCTACATGCTACTCCTCTCTCCCTCAAACCACCATAATGTGGCTTGGGCTCTCGTTCTCTCCACAGCCAAGTCCCCAGTGACCTCTCTGTTTCCAACACAGGATAGAATTCAGATCTGTCTGTTTGCAGCAGTCCTCACTGTTAGCAGGACCCTCCCTCGAGGGCTTCCTTCCCCCACTATAGCCCCACACTCCCACCTCCTCCTGTTTTGCTGTTGAAGGATGACTCCCAGGTGTGAATGTCCTTCCTGAATCCCTTGCTCAAAGCAGCTTAGATCCCTCCCATGGGATGCTCCACCTGCATGAATCACAGGCATTTCAAACTCAGTGTGTCCAAAGCCACTTCTCTGCTCCTGACAAGCCTGACCCCTTCTGTGTCCCTCATTCTAAAAATGGCACCACCCTGCCATGGTGTTCATGCCACAAACACCTTCATCAACTCTGACTCTCCTTTCTCTCCCACTCTATAGCCTTCAAATTCTACCAAATGCATTGCCTTGCAGGCGCCCCTGAAATATGCCCACCCCATCTCTGCTTCTACCACCATGATTCAAGCTCTCATCCAGTCCCTTCTTGGTCATCTGATCTTTCTGCCTCCTTTAACCTGCTCATGACAGTACCCACGTCACCTGTAGGTGACTTAGGTTTAGGTCTGGCCCTGCTATACTCTACCCCCCACTTTTATCCTTCATCACCTTGACTCCACCTCCCCATGCTTGGGGTAGCTTGAGTCCCTGGATGAATGCCTCATTTTGTGTTGCTACTAATGCCTTCAGGCCTGAGAATGTGTGTCACCTCCTGTTACTGCCAGGTGGCTCCTCTGGGCCTTGAAGGCCCCAGCTACCCCTCTCCATGCACATTGTTGGTTGGTCCATGGATCTCCCTGACTGTGAGCTTTTTCAGAAAGGGCCTGGGTCTCATCCACCTATCCGTCTTTGTCTCCTCGGTGCTAGCAGTGCCAGGTAACTGGTGGGTGATTACTGGGTGCTGGGGTAAGTATTAATGCCCTACCAGATGACTATCTGTCGACGCCCTCTGCCTCTGCGCTCCTCCAGGGCAGGAATCTCGCCTTTCCCTCTCTTTGCAGCGCCTGGCAGGTAGGGCTGCAGAGGTGTTTACTGAAGGGAGTGAGTACCAGAATGAGGACCCCACCCTTCCCCGCGGTCTCCCGGAGCAGCTTAGGACAAAACCTGCCCCACATTTTTTGGCTCCTGTCAATCACCGGATTCACTCCTCTTCTGCCTTTCTGTGGGCCGGACTGGTGGCGCAGGGGCCGGGTGGGGAGAGGGGACCGGCTCCCGAACTCAGAGAGGAGTGTCCCGGCGAGGTGTCGCGGTCGCCGGCTCCCCACCTCAGCGGCAGCGAGGGGTCTCTGGCTCAGGACCCGAGCCGGGAATGGAGCGCGAGGCGAGCCTCCGAGACCGCGGCCCGCGCTCCCAGGGGCCCCGCCGGCGGCTC